TCATCAGGATTGTAATCAGGCTTGTCGTCTGGCTTATCTGGCTTTTCATCATCGTCATCAACCATCTGCCCTGTGAGAAAACCAACTATGCTATTAAACGTACTGTCAAGGATTCCGGGAACAGAGTGCCCACCTTCCGGGCTCGAGATGACTGTCGGGGAAGTGAACTTGGGAATTAGTTTTTGGGAAAGCGACGGAGGGATCACCCTGTCTTGCTCGCCAATCCAAATTAGGGTCGAAATGTCATCGAAGGGACTCTGGCCATCGACCAGATCCATTAGGCCGAGATGCGTCTCGGTCGGATATCCTGAAAAGATCATGGCCTTTTGAAACGTGCCGGGGAGGGCACTGGCGAGGTATACCGGAACAAAGGCAGCCCCCTGTGAGAAGCCCAAAATTCCATAGAACGGTCCTTCCTCATCAACGATGCGATTTAGGTTTTCAAGAGACGAATCGGCGATGGCTGGAGTGGTGGTTGGGTTGTCTTTGCTTGGAGGGTCCTAAAGTTGCGAGGACGAAAAGGCAAAAGGCGAAGAATTGCATTAGGGCGATGGGTTCAGCGGATGCAGCAACGAAAAAAATCGTAGTTACTTACGGGGATCCACAAATAGTTTTGCTGTTCAATAGGAAAACCTCCGTCGGCATAGACGAAATCAAAATCGGGAAGAGCCGCTTCCAGGTCAAGCATTCCTGGTTGTTGTCCGAACTCTGTAATAGCAGGTGAATGGGGAGAGTGAGATAAATTCTGTTGCAATTTTTGAACGGCAAAGCTGGGATTTTCGTTTCTCACCTCTGGCGTTACCTCCACCACCGTGAAGGGCAAGAATCTTCGGGCGAGCAGAAACAGAAACCGAAGACAAGGAAATGATTGCGATCGCAATGAAACGTTTTTTTGAAGATAAAATCATGGTGGTTGTTTTCTCTTTTTGACTGGCTTTGATTTTGATCAGATGGTATTTTTGAAATATGAAAATCAATTTTGTGAGCTTCCTGTAAAACGAAAGGAAATAATTTCCAATTCGAAGATACTGTACAAAATATTTCATTATTTCCTGTCCGTGCCGCTACCATTGAAACCTTTTTCACTTGCTCATGAGAGAGGTTAAAAAAATACTTCAACAGTAATGTATTTAGGCCATCGGAAAAATCAACCGGGAGCCAATATCGAATAATCTTCACAATGATAAGGAGTGTAGAATCCAACTCGGGAGTCAGTGAAAACGTTGTTACACGAAACCGTTGAAAGGCTTTGACAAGTGTACAATAGAAAGTAAAAGATTGTCCTGAACATTGTTTACTTAACAGGAGGAACAAAGTAAACGGGAGTCAGAACTAATTCTCGTTAAGTAAATCCGGGAGTCAGCGTAAGGCATTCTTCTCATCGATAAGAGCAATCGATCGATGGGTGCCGTGAAGCCGAGACGTAACAATGGCAGACCATGACTCCGATACAGATACAGTACATATCTAAAATAGGTATATTAAGTATGATACTTATCTTGGACGGCAGCAGTCGGATCATGGGCTCGTCATGTCGTGCACACACTCGAAGTACAGTAAAGTACCGACGTCGGTATCAGAGCCAAATGGTACCGGCCACTACCGTACGAACTACGACGTAGATGGGACTCGTATTGGCAGCAGGCATTGTTCGTTCGGAAGATCCTCACCGTGGACTTCTTCAATTTGAGACGGATGAGATAACAAACTCGAACTTGTGAGAATTTAGATCCTAGCGCAGCAACTATGACATCTTCTGTTACTTCGTATTTTCTTTATTCGTCGAAGACTGCCTACCGCTTTTAAGAAATACTCTTCTCCAACTACGTAGCAATTAGATATCTCCTGTACGCTGCAAACATTTGTAGTAACTCAGCTGCGCGAAAACAACCCGGAAATATGAGTTCCCATCCGTTGATACAGGTCCTGTTCTTACTCTCTTTGGTGGACGCGACGGATGCCTTTGTCGCACAATCGCCCGTGGCGTCGCGGTCGTCGCTCTCGAACGGCTCGTATCGGAAAACGGGGTCTTCGGACTCGCGATGCTTCAATTTCCTAAAGGACGCTTTGGACAAGGCTTTTTCGAACGACGGTAGCCTCGATAAGGACAAGAGGGCGGGCCAATACGACGACATTTATGCCGGGGAGGAATACATAGAATCGGATCCGAGTGCCGACGACAAACTGACCGACGTGCAACGCAAATGGCGGCAATCGACAGCTGCCTTCGACACTGTCGTTCCAGAAATGATCGCGGGCAAATCGTTCACACTAGATCTGTTCCTGTCGGGGGTCCCCGATCGGGACCCCAGCAACGACTTGTACGGAAGCCGGGTCAACATTTCGTCCCGGGACAAGTCGACCGGTCTGTCGCTCCCGTCCGCTCCGTCGGCCAGCGTGCAGCTCGACTTTCTCGAAAACGGGGAGTGTCGCTGCTCGGAGTCGGATTTCACGTCCGGGGAATCGAACGGGGAATGGAAGCTTTCCGACGACGGAAAAGTCCTGAGGTTCAGCATGGACGCCATTGGGTACACGCGCACCGTCCAAACCAAGGGAAGCATCCAGAACGTCTACTGGACGGACGAGGAAGAAAAAAGCATACAGACCTCGACAACGTATTCGATCCCTCCTGGCATGGTGTACGGAGACGTCCAGGTTTCCCTCGGACGAAAGCCGGGAACCTTCGAGGTCGAGAAGGAAGGAGTCCTTCGATTGGAGAAGAGCACGGGAATGTTTGGGATTGGAACCCAGCTAGTGGCGTGTGGAAAATTCGTCCCAAAGCTCAAGATCGATGACGCGGTGGCTTGATGGAGATGCCGTCGTCCCACCCAACGCAGCGGGTGCATGCCCCTCCAAGCCGGGATTTCGTATTTCACGGTGTTTGAAACAATGGGCAGACTTTTGTTTCGTTCAATGAGCCCAACGCCAAATATAGACGTTGCTGTCGACGTCCGGTTTCCACCCTTGGTCGTGATATGGAATCCGAGTGCTTTCTGGAAGGAGGCGAAACTCACAGAACAAGAGAGACTACTGCAGATGCGCAAACGAATCATAATTGAATGTGTAATACATGCACGAGTCGGGATGGAGTAGTTCCAATGCTATTTTCTTACTGAACGTTCCGTGGCACTTACAACGTGTCCATGAACAACTACGCCTTGTTTAGTTCGTAGCACTAATATAGAACGTAGTAATTTTTAAGGTTCCTGCATACGATGCAGTAGTTCTGCAACGGAAAGGAGCTGGCTTTTTGCCCTTCGTGCAACAATATATATTAGCATTGTTTTTCCTTGTCATTCAAATACCACGTTTTGACTTCCACTTGTAGAGCACCGCAAACGAACAACATGCTTTACCAACAACTTTTGAAAGCACGTGAAATTGTTTTGAGGAAACGACTGCGCATTCCGCAAGTACCAACCGATAAAAACCAACGAAAGTTGCTCAAGAAACGCCAACCACGATTTTGTCTTCAACAAAGCTTTTCATTGCGATCGCAATGATTTCCTTTTCTCTGGTTTCTGCTGGTCAGGACGCTCATGCCCTTCGCGGCAGTGGGGGTAACGGACGAGGTGAGAATGAGAAGAACGAATCTGGCCTTTCCGGCAGTGCAGGTAACGAAGGAGTTGCACCGAGAATTGTTTTGGTACTGCCAGAACTGATCCCACTCTCCCTGAGTTCCACGACTTTGTTGATAATGACGAATTTCTTTTCGAGAACAAGGCAAAGAAAAACCGTGTCTGGATTGGCAAGCCGGCATTTAAGAAGAAGAAAAAATATAGCAAGAAATCGGATGTCGCCGAGCACCGTGCCCAAACTTGCGGGTGCGGCGAATGGCCATGGCGACGGAACCTAAGTGAAAATAGCATAGCGGCGGGCAGGCGGCCCGGCCTCTTTATTGATCGTAGCAACACACTATCGGAGTCCGCGAAGCGCGAAGGCCGGCCCTTTGTGTCACTGCCGTGGGCTGTTTCCATCCAACGATTCGATTCCGTTGCGGCTGAGTGTCAGCAATAAATTATGTTCAAGTCCTAGAATGATTTCTATAAAGAAAAGCAGACCGGCCGTTCGGTTGCATTCGGATTGGTTTCAAACGATTTTTAGTGTAGTTGCAATCAGTAATAATGGGTCCGGACCTTGTGAAAGGGCTTCATCGCGCCCTCCCGGTGCATCTTTTCCCCTGCCTGCCACAGGTACCAGTCCACGGTGACGTCGGAATAGCCCCCGGCGGCGGGGGGGGGTTGTCCTCCGTCGCCCCTTTTGCTTGGTTGGTTCAGGAGCCCTACCAGCTCTTCCACCGCCACGACCGTCGCCGCACGGATCGAGACCTCGTCGCAGGATCCCTTGCCGAGCTCGACCAGGCCATCGACCCTCGAAGCGAGCCCGGGTGCGTACTCCAGGACCCCCCGGTGCCGGAGGATCTGGGGAACGCGATAGTCGGCAAAGGTCGTCAGCCGCTCGATTCCCCCCAGGTTCAGCTTGAGGGCGGCGTTTAGGTCGCCGGCGAGGATCTGGGCGCGCTTCAAAAAGACCAGCCGCTGGTGGTGCCGCTGCGGAGGATTGCGCTTGTTTGGTTCGCCGCCCTTCGGGAGGTACGCCTCGTCCCGGAATCCGGGAAAGGAGGCCGCGATCCGCTCCACCAGCTTCGGGGCATTTTTCCCGGCGCGATCCAGCAGCGCCAGAGCGGACCCGCCGTAGTCCTTTTCCAGGCCCTCCCCCACCTCCCTCCAGAGCGCGGCGCGCTGCTCGGGGTTGGGGAGCGGGTATTTCTTCGGATCCAGGAACGGCCGCAGCGAGGCGAGCATGGATTCGGGGGTCGCAGCGGACAGGCTCCTGGCCGAAAAGGCATACTCGGGCCGGGGTTCCCGCGGATCCTTGGGGGTCGTGTGATCGGCCTCGGCCATCTTCTTGAGAGCGATTGCCAGGTGTTCGTATTCCAGCAAATTGTTGCGACTGCTGTGGCTGCTGCTCCGAGCAGAACGGTCCTCTTCTCCCCCGCTGCCCTCTGGCAGGGGCCAGAAACAAAAATTGATGGCGTCCAGTGCCAACAAATACAGGGCAACCCGTTCCCTCCGTTCCTTCTCGCTTCCCACGAAACCCTCGCCGCTGTAATGCCACCCCTCCGTGTCCCACTCGATCCACGATTCCTGCCCGTCGTTGTCCCCCGAAGTGGATTCCCCGGCTTCTGCCTCGGTTGGTTCTCCTTCTCGGCGATCGCGATCGCTCCGTTCGTCTTTGTGGGTGGCACCGTCCGCTGTTTCCTGGCGGCGCCGCTGCGTCCGGATCTCCTCCGCCAGTGCGGGGAGGCGATCGAACCGGATCCGGACCGAGCGGCGGCCTTCCCCGTGTCGATCGGTCCGATCCCACCCGGCGGTTTCGTCACAACCGATCCCTCCGGCTGCCTCCACCACGGGTGGTTCCTCTTCCATCCATCTCCGGCACGTCGTTCGCACCAGTTCACACGGATTTTCAAACGACGAAAACGACGACGACGACGACGAGGCATCCATGGTTTTGTGTCGCAGCGCTTTTGATTGCGTCCGTCGCGGTTGTAGCAGCGATGCCCGGAAGCTGCTGCTGTAGCAGTTGCATCGTGTCGTTCCTACACATCTGGCTTTAGCCCCGGACGGAAACGGGAAACCGAAAAAGATCCCATCCAAAATCCTGAGTCCCGCGAAGAGGCCGCGCGACTACTCGAAACGCTTCCGTTGCTGCGCGCGCAATTTTTATCTTTGTGTGCTTCACCGTACCGTGCGTCCGTACGGTACGTACCGTGCGATGTGGGGTCGATGAGTGGTTGACCCCGAAGCACCGCATGTCTGGCCCTCGCCCGTCAAGAAAGCGGAGAAAGGGCTGTGTTTGTTTCCTCCCGGAGACGTGTAATCTTACTACGACTACGAGTAAGTACCGTACTTGGTACTCGTACCGACTATCGTGCATGCTTTGTGTTCGTTGGCCCCCGCTTTGCTTTTGGTTCCGGGAGGAAGGACAATGGTGCTTGTTGTCGATAGCCTACTGAACCGCAACCCAACAAGAAGAAACAAAAGAAACAGCCGAGCAATAGAATTACGAAATGGGTGAATCAAAGAAGAAGTGCGATCACCTGAAGAAACAGGATGCGTCTACGCTCGATCCTACAAAGTTGACGGCACTGACCCCGGAAGTCGTACGTTTTTCCCCTTGCCATCGCTAGAAGTTGTTTGTGCGTCGTTGTGCTTTTGTGTGTTTGGTTGGGGTTGCCGGAATACCTTCTGGTACTTGCTTGCTCGCATCGGATCGGATCGTTCCCAAAACTCCCGGTGGAAAAGCGGTTGCCCACAAACGAAACTGCCTTTCGGGTCCCTTCCCTTTCTCTTTCCCCGCACAAGGCTCACCCGGGTTTTGTTCGGCATTCCTCGACCGCGTTTTCCTCCTCCTCTCTCTCTCTCCAGATTTCCCGCCAGGCCACCATCAACATCGGTACCATCGGTCACGTGGCACACGGAAAGTCCACCGTCGTCAAGGCCATCAGTGGCGTCCAGACCGTCCGGTTCAAGAACGAACTGGAGCGCAACATCACCATCAAGCTCGGGTACGCAAACGCCAAAATCTACAAGGGAGACCCCAAGGGCGAGAAGGGGGGCTTCTACACGTCCCGGGGATCCAACCATTCCGACGAGTTCGTCGACTCGGTCACCGGGGTCAACTTCCGGCTGCGCCGGCACGTTTCCTTCGTGGATTGCCCCGGGCACGACATTCTGATGGCCACCATGCTCAACGGAGCGGCGGTCATGGACGCCGCCTTTTTGCTGGTGGCCGGAAACGAGACCTGCCCCCAGCCCCAGACGTCGGAGCACCTGGCGGCCGTGGAGATCATGCGGCTCAAGGAGATCCTCATCCTGCAGAACAAGGTCGATCTCGTCAAGCCCGACGCGGCCGTGGCCCAGCAGGAACAGATCCGCAAGTTCGTGGCCGGAACCGTTGCCGACTCGGCCCCGATCATCCCCATCTCGGCCGTTCTCAAGTACAACATCGACGTCGTGTGCGAGTACATTGTCCGCAAAATCCCCCTGCCGGTCCGGGATTTCACGTCGGTCCCCCAGCTCATCGTGATCCGGTCCTTCGACGTCAACCGGCCCGGACAGGACGTCGAGGACCTGCAGGGAGGGGTTGCCGGAGGAAGCATCCTGAAGGGAGTCCTCAAGCTCGGCGACGAGATCGAGGTCCGACCCGGGATCGTCACCAAGCAGGAGGGAGAAGACGGACAAACCACGATGGTCTGCTCGCCCATTTACAGCAAGATCTCGTCCCTCGCCGCGGACGACAACGCTCTCGAATACGCCGTCCCCGGTGGACTGATCGGTGTCGGTACCCGGATCGATCCCACCCTGACCCGTGCCGATCGTCTGGTGGGACAGGTACTCGGTCTGCGAGGAAAGCTCCCCGACGTCTTTTGTGAGATCGAGATTTCGTATTACCTTTTGAGACGGTTGCTGGGAGTCAAGACCAGCGACGGTGGAAAGCAGGCCAAGGTGCAGAAGCTCTCCAAGGGCGAAATTCTCATGGTCAACATCGGATCCACGGCGACGGGAGGCAGGGTCATTGCCGTCAAGGGAGAGCTCTCCAAGATCGCACTCACACAACCCGTCTGTACGACGGAAGGCGAAAAGATTGCCTTGTCCCGCCGTGTCGACAAGCACTGGCGTCTCATTGGATGGGGTCAGATCCGAAAGGGTGTCAAGATCGAGGTCGCCGAGAACTAGGCCCGGCCGGCGTCGGTCGACGGCACCGGCACAAAACCATAGTAGCACACACTAAGCACTCTCGATATAGGAAAAACACGCACCCACACAAACGCGCCACACACCCAAAACAACAAACCCGTTTGAAATAAAAGAAAACACAGATTCAGAGGCCCGGGCTACACCCGCTTGATTCTATTATACATGTATTATATATAGAAGGAGCTACTGCGATGTCATCTCTCCGGTTCTCCGCACCGAATGTCTGCATTCCTGCCTCGCTGTTCGTTCCTGCCCTTTCGGTTGGATTTCTTGACCCAAAACCGTTGTTTGGCGGAATGGTGGCCGTTGCCGTAGCGCCCGGGTCGAGAAAAGCAACAAGTGCTTTCTTTCGTTTGCTTTGCTCGCAGACACACACTCCAGCGATTGTTCGCTGGCGTTTGCGAATCGCCCATCGTTGTTTGTGTCCAGGGAACCGGTGTGCCGATGCACAAGCTGCGGGCAACGATTCCAAGGCATTTGTGTATTTGTTGGTTGGTTGGAAACCATTTGGGTTTGTTTGTTTGCTTCGAATTCTGTCGTACCGTACGGTTCTCAAAAGGCCCGGGGCCGGCGGTCCCCTTGGTGTGCATGCAAGAACGCAGCAGCGCAGCGCAGGAATCGCATCGCTCGCTAGGTGGGAGCGGGCCTCTCCGTCCAGGACACCCCTAGAAAGGCAGCCTTGCTTCCGTAGTGCGTCTTCTTCTGGCACTCGAAAAGGTCTTCCGGGGTCAGCTCGTGCCCGACGATGAGGAAGGAACCAAACTCGCAGTTCGCTTTCCCCGAGCTCCCAAACATTTTCCTGGCGTCTACCAGGGCCAGGTCCTCCAGGGCTCCCTTCTTCCAGGCGTCGTCCAGCCAGATGCCGAGGTTCGTGTCCTCCCCCTGGTACCGGTGCAGCGATCCCGAGTGGTGCACCACGTACTCGACGGCGGCCTTGCTCAGGACGTGGCCGGCGCTCCCCTTGGGCCAGTTGGGATAGACGTTGGGTTTGTAGCTCGGATCCTCCGCCCACTTTCCCGACCGGGCCACCGGCGAGCGGTGGACGATCTCGCCGAGGACCACGGGGACCTCGTGGTTGAACCTGCGGAGGTACTTTTCGAGCTGGTTGACCCGGACGAACATGTCGTCGTCGGCCTTGGCGATCCACCGGGTTGTGGGGATGTTCTCCAGGACCCAGTGGTAGGCCTGGACCATTTTTTCCGACAGGCGCTCGTAGCTCTCCTCCATCGGGATCTCCAGCAGGTCCCCCCACTCCCTTTGTTCGTTTCTCAGAAAGTTGTGCTCGGCCTCGGCGCAGGTCGGCCCGGTCGCACTTTTGCCACGGGTGGTCCTTTCAAAGTCCGCCTCGAAGTCCCGACAGCTCGACTGGGCAATGACAAAGAGGATCGTTGCCCCCGACCCGTGTTCCTTTGCGGCGGCCATCCAGGTTTCTCGTATGGCCTGGCGTTTCACGAAACTCCCCTGGTGGCTGGGGACGAGAAGGACGACCCCGCTGCCGCTGCTCACGGCGGAAGACACGCTGGGAAGCGGGAGCACCGGGGGTTGGAAGTCGACCTTCTGGTCGGGCGGGGTTTCGGCAAAGACCGAGCGTGGCTCGAGGTTCGTCTTCCCATTCGCACCAGCGTGGTCCCCCTTTGGAGCCCTTAGTGCCTTCTCGAAGAGTTCTTCCTGCATTTTGTGCAGCCGCTTGCTTACTTGCGGGGGCGGGGGCGTGTCGTCGTCGTTGTTGTTGTCGTTGATGTTGTTGTCTTTGTTGTCGTCGGTGCCGCCGCCGGTGCCCCTCAGGAAATTCGTGCCCCACGTTTCTCCTCCCACGAGCCGTGTTTCTAGGTGGTGGTGCACCGGTTCGTTCTGGTAGGCATGGCTTTCACCCAGCCGGAGCTTCGAGCTCGTGACGGAGAGAACAAACACATCGAAGAAGACGATCGCGGGGACAAAGAGGGACAGGCACACCAGCGTTCTTGTTCTGCTCCTGTCCTTCGGTCGGGTGGCCATGGCGGTACGTGTACGCGTTGTTGTGTGCGTGTGCGTGGGCTGTAGGAAGGAGGTCGTGGTCGCTTCGCTGCTTTCCGGCTTGGTCTTTCCAGAGGGGGGAGGAGCCATCTGCCCTATCGATTACCGTATCGATGATGGCGACAACCACAATCGAAGTTGCTGTTGTACTTGGTACTGTGTTATAGAGGAGTTTGGACCGGCATGACGTACGGTAGGATGATTGCAACAGCAATCTCGTTTCACGGACCGGCATTGTGTTCCGTACGTAAAGTACGTACGGTAACTCGTACGAATGTCCGAGAAGTCGGGAACAGAAAGGAACATCTGGTACGGGTATGCATATCCTACCTCCATTCCAGTCCCGAAATCTGGAATCCCGAAACCGAAATCTACCGTAGAATCTAGAAAAATCTAACAAACATACGAAGAACAATTAAGTCTTATCAAAGTGAAAGTACATTGTTCCTTCACCTTCACACCTACGCCAACCAAGCAGCTACCGAACAAACAGAGCTCCGAAAGAGAAGAGAACATAGTAGAGTGCATCCTTCGCAAGACAAGACAATGGACGACAGCTATGATTACACACGGATTTACGGGACGGCTGCTCCGGAGAGCATAACGATGCGTCGGCTGGAATCCCTCGACGAACTCGTCGTGGCGCAAACGACGCAGGTTTGTTTGCGGAAGGGCTGCTGCACYCCTTCCATCAACTGGGTCTTGCTGGACTCGTCCAACTACGAGCTTCCGGAGGCATCCGGCTCGTCCTTCTCCGCCGGCGCGATGAATCCCTTCGAGCTGCCCAGCGTGGGTGGCTGGATCCACGAGGAAGCGACCTTTTTCCAGCGCTGCTGCTGCGGCTGTCCCGGCACACGAAAGACGAGATTCGTGCACCACGCGGGCCTGCCGCCTTCGTCCCTCGGAATCGAAGACAGGCAGTTCTGCTTCATCCAAGACACCCCTTCGAGTTCCTTTCTGGCGGAGGAAGACCTAAAGCGAGACATTGTTGCCATCCACGAAAAAAACAATACCTGCCCCACCAATTGCTGCTGCTGCCCGAACCATTCGCCCTACCTCCGAACCATGGACGGCAAGGGACGGTACCTGGGGGAAACCAGATACGTCTGCGACCGGTGCATCTTTGTGCCGAAATTCGTCGTCCTGGACCCATACCGAACGCCCAGGTTCCTCCTGCGACCCGACACGTGCTGGATGGGAATCTGTGTGCGCCCGAGGTGCGGCGGACGAAAGGGAAAGTGCTGCCGCCTCCCGTTTCTGCTGCGCGATCCGGATACCCTCGCGCCGGTGGGAGCGAGCCTCGCCCGGGAGGGGGAGGAGGCGGCCCAGGTCACGCAGCTGTGGTCGGGCCTGGCGAACGAGCTCTGCTTCCAGCGCCATGCCTACCACGTCGCATTCCCGTCCCCTTGTTCCTCGTCGTCCGTGCAGGCATCGCGGGTGTCCTGTTCCGCAGAAGACAAGCTGGTATTGATTGGCTCGTCCATACTGATCGATGTTGCCATGTTCGAACAAGAGAACGACAATTAGCAACAAACTTTGGAACCAGCAACGTTTTTTCGAGGCAAAGAACTGCAATTTCGCAATGCACAAAGGCTGGCTTTCGAAAAGCGCTCCGTGTAAATACTGCAGAAGGGTCCCCGTGTTTTTTTCCTCACAGCAATGAAGGGTTGAAGTGATCGAGGGAGAGTCGGAGTACAAGGAAGAGGTTGTGCGATAAATAGATATTTATAAAAGTTCTACGACTTCATCTCCTCGTCTTGTCCAGCAATTCCTACTAATTCAAACGATTTGACAAGAACAAGTACTAGGCTACTACTAGTTGATTCAGTAGTTGTAGACAGTGATTGCGTGGAKGTTCACAAATATGCACCAACTGTTGCATTATTAGTTTCCTTAGCGATTGTTGCGTACAAAGAAGATGATAACATAAGAGTCACAGTTCCATACAAGACATGCTAGAGTATCACAGACACGCAGGCAAAATGCAATAGGTCATACTGCTGTTATAGAATCCTTGTTTTTTTTTTGGCCTCACCGAGTGTTCATCGATACAATGTGGATCCCGAGAGAGTGAATAACCAAAAAAATTCTTCTAATACTTTATGGCAAAAGTGCTTGTTATTTTGCTTCGCGTCGTGGATTTTGGAAAGAAAGCGAGCTACAGAGACCGTAACAATCTATCGAGTGTCTCTCGGTTGCAATTTTGTGGTCGTGCGTGCCATTGCAGGGAAACTATCACCACGTTCTGCAATCTCGTTCGTCCTGCGGTTCGACTTGTTGCGTCCGTTTTGCGTCCGTTTGTACCAATGCCACCGCAAGAGCGCATCGAACGCAGGAACTCCTCTCACTGAATGATCTGGCCTCGGAAAGTGAATCATTCGTTCGCTAGTTTGTATCTGGGACTATGATGGAAAAGGACCCGAACCTTTGAATCTCTACTCGCCGCTGTTCGAATTGAATCATCGGTGGACTGGACGTGTTGCTCAGTGATTGCTTGGGGCCTACGACTTGCTGCTTCGAGAGAACTTCGGAGAAAAAGAATGGCCGAAACCACCTTTCCGTGTTGCACCTTGGTTCGGCGCTTCGAGCGATCATCCCATGTGCGCAATGTACACAAAGCGAATCCGATCGAGCTCGATCTCCTCCTTCGATTTCGCTTTTGGAAGGCTGAGGCTGGTTTGCCTTCGTTTCGACACCAGTTTCCGCGCCCGGCCCGCCTCCCGTTTGGACACGGGTTTCGTTCCCTCCCCGGTTTCGTTTTTCCGGTAGTACCTGGGCCGGGCGTTCTCGTCGTCCAGGGCAAACCGAAGCTGCCCGTCGACCATGGCCTCGAGGCTTTTTTCCAGTGCGTCGGCTCCCCTAGAGCCGGTGCAATCGTTGTCTGCTGCACTCGCGGGAGATCCACTCAGCAGCCGAATCGCTCGGGACACCGCCTCGAGAGTGGAAGTGCAGTGGGGGGCGGGTTCCTGCCGGAGTGAATCGAACAGGCTGTTGGTTGTTTCGTCGAACATTACGCGGGGTAGCTTCCAGAGCAGGTCGTTTGAGTTTTGTACCATAGATTGCGTCTGTGCCCAGGTTCCGTCCACCACCACCAGTATGTTGCTGTTCCTGCTGTTGCCATCGTTCTTTGCGCTGGTGATAGCAGTTTGAACATCGTTCTCTGTCACGGCCGGATCCTCCTCGTTGTCGACCGTGCTCAAGGCATTTTCGAGATACATCTGCAAGGGAAGAGCTCCATCACTGGGATAGAGCAACAAAGCATGGCCGTTGACGTGTGAATTTCTATTGTTTCCTTTGCTGCTTTCTTTCGCCATGTCCAAGGCTTCGTCCAAGAGAGGATGGCTCCCTCGTTCGAATTTGGTCCCGACACAAATTTCGACGTTTTGGATCGAAAGACCAATCAGAGGTACCGTCGAGGTACGCTTTCTCTTTCTGGCTTCGCGTGGATGCTGTTTTGGTTCGGTTTGTTCAGATTTGTATGTTTGGGTGGGAATTCACCGTTCCGTCGGAAGAAAAAAGAATAACAGAAATCGTTAGTTTTCGACCGCAGAAAGATGGTATGATAACAGAAATCGTTAGTTTTCGACCGCAGAAAGATATTATTATCTTTCATTATACAGCCTTGGTTATTGTAAAGAGTTGAAACACAATTGTTGCGTTTGCGTTCTTTCTATCGGCTTCTAGCAGATGGCAATGGAGTATGACTCGGCATTGCACTGGTACTGACCTGAAGGATTAGAATTCTCGTCCCACAATCGATAGGTTCATCCGGCAATGCATGGCAGATGCACACCACGTTGGGTCGCTTGCACCTCGGACAATACCCCCTGGAACCGGCTGTCGACGCAGAGCGTTGCTTGCTATGCTTAGTGGCATTGTTGCTTTTCCTTCTTGTATCGCTGCCCGTGCTTTCGTTGCCAAGACGAGAAAAGACGAAGGATGACGTGGTTGTTGGTGGCGATCGCTTTCCTTCACTCTCCTTCCACAAGGTTTTGCTGGTGAAAATACTGCCAATGCTTTGCACCGTCTTTCCAGGCCACGAGCGGTGTTGTCGGCGGACAACCAAAGCCGGTACCGGTAAGGCAAAGGCGTCACAAAGCATCCAACTCACAACTAGCCATGGGTTGACGGAAACAACGAGACAAAGAATCGGCCAGAGACGCCGAACAGCTAAGATCCATGTTCCCACATTCCTATTTCGAACCGCACAATCTCCATTGTACCCGTTCCTGCTCCTCGCCATGTTTGCTGTAGAACAAAGCTAATCAGGTCTCGGGTTTGGTTGGTCGACGTCGAGGTCCAAACAGAGAATATTTTTTGGTGCCATGCATAGTAGCTGCACAACTAAGGCTACTACAAAGAGTACGAACGAAAACTCGACACAGACAGGGTACTCGTACCGGCCGGTACACTAGGGTACGGTACGGTATGTAATCATATCAGGCCACCGTTGATGGCTGATGACGATCTGTGTTACGAAAAGCAAAGCGCAATGCAGTCATGCGCGGTGAATTTTCCCCTGCTCATTTCCCCTCTCCCCTTTTAGAAAATACATACTAGTAGTTACTAGTAATACATGTACTAGTAGTAGTCCCTAAATATTTTTCTACTGCTCTTCATACTAGTACGTAATACTATCATAGTACTAGTAGTGAAAGTACTGAGAAACGAGAAAATGTTATTGTTGTTGCTCTTCTTCCTTCTACTACTAGTACTAGTAGTAGTGAACTCAAATCAGAGTTTGAGATACTTGTTAAGAATTTCCCTGACTAGTACTAGTAATTGTTCTTCTTGTTCTTCTTCAACAAGAACAACAAGCACCAATACTGGAGAACTTGCATAGCTACTACTAGTACTAAGCTGACATTGCTGTACTAGCTACTACTACTACTAGCTAGTAGTACTAGTTTACTAGGAAAGTTATATTAGGAGCTACTGCTTACTACTGGAGGGGGAAAAGTGCTGCAACAATAGTACGGGTAGTAACCATCTTCCCTATTCAGATCCTTTGTAGCTCTTGGAACCAATGCCCAAGTATCAGCGTCACCTCCTCATCTGTACGGTACATACCATCAACTTTTACCAGCGCCATCACCGGCAACCTTACCAGCAACCATATCGGCGTCCCTCCCTTTCCGTTGCTGCCCCGCCCCTCCCATGATAAGGGATGCCGTTCTACATAAAGTGTTGCCAGACGCAACAAGAAGAATACCGTCTGTGACGTACGACATCTAGGGAAGGTTATTTTTTACGCATGCCATTCGAAGACAAAATTGGATATTTAGGAGTCGCAGGTATTTTTCTTTGTGAGAACGGGCTTTTGGTATTGTATGTTGAAAATGCGACCATAAAGAGCGCTCATTCGGAAGTCAAAACCAAAAAAATCAATTAATATATTTCGTAAGAGATTTCTGTTTGGTGACTTTCGTATCTCCGATACACAATTGTTTCTAGTGATAGCGCAAAATTCAGAATTCATCCTGTTGAGGCGAAGAAACGAGGTATTTCAGCACGTCACAAAATTCAAATACATATTAATGCTGATTGTTTGTTTACTAACATAAAAATATCGCCCAATAATTAGCGTTCATAAAATAATTCTATATATGTTTCAAAATGCTACTGAATAATTTAGGACCTTATGTGTTCAAAACGGTACTAATACGAGACGAAAGCAATAAGTATTCAATGTTCTAACATCAATTTACGTTGAATGGGAGAAGTTTGCACGTCTCAAGACACAATATATTTATGCTATTCAGGCATATACCTTTCGGGAAACCCAGTACCATATTTTTTCTCACTTTCTCAATTACCAAAGTGATATATTGCTTAATCATTGTGAAAAACAGATTAAAATTAAAAAAGGCTATATTAATCTGACTCGATCACACTTTCGAGAGAAATACCGAACAAACGGTGAACTCATGGAATCCTTGTTTTGTTTTCGCATGGCTGTTATTCACCAAAACGGGATCGATTGCGCTTTTCAATTTTGTTTTGCCGCCGTACTCGTACTGTGCCTGTTCTTTTTGCTCCCAGCACTTCCAAGAAACCGATTAGGAAACTACAGAGCAAGTAACCTTTCAGCGGCTTTGCTTCCCATTGGTACGTCACTTCCCGTTCCGAAACGGACACGATACCGTCGTTGCCCAAACCCGCGAAACACGATTCTTGACAACAGAGACAAGAGCTTCGAAACCGCTATCACCAACCAGAGAACCAGATAGAAGAGATTACCAAATATCGTACGAACAGGAATTGAAACGCAAGAATCTAATCAACAATGACAGCAGCAATAATGGCACAACAGAAACCAATAAACCTATTCATGCAGGACCTGGTACGCAAAAACATCCACAGCAACGACCCGAAGGATGATTCTGACAGCACCACTATAGCGACATTTGACTTTGCCAAGAAAGAAGCCCTCCATCGAAACGATAGCATCAGCAACAGTATTAGCAACAGCATTAACAACAGCGACAGCAGCGTTTTAACGAGCTGCACCGGAACCAGCGGATCGTATTTCCTGAGCGACGATACAACGATCACGGATACGACAGCCTCCTCCCGAAGCGTGGTGGTTATCAGCGACAACGCCAGGGTTTCGGCGAGGGCACGGCCCAAGCAAACCGCCGTCCTCAACCCCGTCAGAAGTTCGCCCCACATCCGCAAGAAGCTCACAGCGTCGAACCGATGGGGCGCCGACTGCATCAGCCAAATGAACAAGAACCTCAACCACTATACTCTTTCGAACAACCACAGCCGGGACGGTTTGGTGGTGTCTTCTTCCCATTCGTCTGAAAGCAGAAACCGCTGGTACCCCGACGAACTCAAGCTTCCATCGAGAGGTAACAGCAGCAGTAGCAACAACAAGAATGGCAAAAGCAATGACACCAATTCTACGGATCCCTCGATTCGCCGAGGTGTCAGCGATTCGTGCCTAACGATGCCCAGGAGGAGCTGGAAGCAACAACTCGAACCACAGCTCGAAATCGAAGAAGATAGCACAGAGGAACTTGTAGAGCAGTTGCTGAACGCCAAAACGAACGCGAACACGAACACGAAGCGAATCGTGAGTTGCAACAATCTATCTGCGTATATCGAACMAAATCACACAACTGCAACTCCAAGCAGCGATATTGTCCAAGCCAAAAAGGCACTCGCAAAGTCGTTTTGTTCCCAGAAGTCGTCCTCGGAAGATCTCCTCAAAGCAGCCTCTAAGGCGGTCCAACGCGATTTGCACAGGGTAGATTCCATGGAGCTTCCGAATTCCCGATGCAACCACAAGTTTCCCACGCAGCAGCAGCCACGGCGGAAGCAGCAGCGAAAAAGCAAACGGCCCGTTGCGCCTGGGGGACCATCCTCAACGGCGCTGCTTCTGAATCGCAACCGCTTATTGGACATCATCTCTTCTCCCGATGGACAAGAATCCCTCCGTCGCCTCACGTCTGCTGCTACTGCGCCCGGGGAGTGTGTCCCGAAACCCGCAGTGAAAGACAAAGAAGAAATCAGCAACCGACTTCTCGACAAAACGGTCAGCACCAGCACCTTGAAACTCTTGCAAAAACGAAGGCAAACGAGTAGCAAAACAAACCGAATCACAGTGTACAAAAGTATCGATAATTCCAGTCACAGCATATATTCTTCGGTTGGTGAAGGCGAGAGCGCGTTTTCTAGCACTCGTAGCAAGAGAAGGAACAACTCGATGAAGAAAATCACGAGATCGTCCTCGAGCACGGTGTCGATCCTCGAGAAAGCCCTGGGTGAAATGGCACCTAAAGTCAAGAAGACCACAAGCAAGACCAAGACCAGCAAAACCATTGCTACATCGAACAGCAAAAGCACCAGCCCTAAAGTCAGCAAAACCAGCTCGATGCCCTCCCGAAGCGGGAAGAAGCTCGAGAGAAGTCACGGTGTTCCTTCTCGAAGCGGCAGGCATACCTCGAGTCGTCGTGAAAGAAACTCCATCGATGAAGAATACTCCAGATCGATTCAAAGCAGGAACGACAGCAGCAGCAAGAAGATGTTGCTCGAGACGACGATTGGTGACGATAAACCTCTTCCTAGAATCAAAAAGGTCACTCTCGGAGCTGCGGTTGGCACCGATACGACTTGCACAAACTCAAATACTCCTCCAAGAATTCCGGGAATGGGATCTCTAGGGGGTAGCAGCCACCGCGGTGCTAGAAGCAGAAGTAGCAGCGGCAAGAAAGGGGTGAGCACGAAGCTCACTTCCCTCGAGCGCGTCCTCGGAGGAATGGCACCCCGGTCCAGAACAAGCTCTGGCAGCTGTACCAGTGGCGACACCAGCAACAGGGAACGAAGGAGGAGGGCCGCGTCCAGATCGATGGAAGACGCACCTCCCCGACCAACACCGAGAAAGAACTCTCTCCAGATCTCGGATGGAACCACTGACTAGGTATGAAAGTGAAACACACATTTTTGAGTCAGCGATTATGTGGCCTATTAATTTTTATAAAGTTTTGAATCTGATGAAATCCTACTCGTAGAACTAAAAAATCTCGGGCCCCAAAATACGCAATCAATTAGCGTCTCCTTGCGAATCCCAATCTCCAATATTCGCAGTCTTTTAAAGATGGACGGATTTCCTTTTACGGCCCCAAGTCTCCGCACCCATGGCATTGCAAAGGCAAGAAGGTTCCCACGCCGACCAACGACAACTGTAGTTACTGTAGTGGTTTCAGAGAGCTACCAATCCTTGGACGAACGACTTGGGTAATTCATCAGTATGGTACCCCGTAGTCATCAACATCTGTTTCGCATCGCTTCGTCCTTTCCGGGCGGAACCTCGTTGCTTGTTGGACCTGGTCACCGAGGCATTGTGGGTGCCAGGACCGGTTTCCAGGGAAGATTCACCGGATTGTAGACCCCTGCGTCTTCGTCGCCGTCGAATTCGTCGCGGTTCTTTACGTTTTCGTCCTCGACCCGATACCGGGCGTTTCTCAGCTTCTCGGCCGGCATGGACTCGGTGAAGACCAGCAGCTGCTCCCGGCAGTCCCTCAGAAACCCGGTCAGCACCTCCGCGCGGTCGGCGTCGTTTCCGCCGGCCCAGTTGGAATCGTTGGCCACGAAATCGATCGCCCCCTGCAGGGCGTCCACGGCTTCGTACCCCGCGGCGCTGGCTTCGACGAGCTGGTCGGGGGGCGTGACGTACGCCGAGGCATAATTGATCTGGTCCAGGAGCTTGTAGTTCTTGTCGACCAGCCGGAGGGTCAGCTTCAGCTTGGCGCGGACTTCCTTGCCGTTTCCGGTGCCGCCCAGGTTTTTGCGAATGTACCGTTCCTGCTGGACGGTGGCCTCCTGGACGCGGCTGACAAAGTAGAGGGATTCCTGGAGTTTGTCGGGATCGGGCGTGTAGGCATGGGACGGAAGCGGGGGGATGGTCGCGCTTCCCGCGCTCGCTGCGACCACCGCTGCGGCCATGTTGAAAAGCGCCGTGCGTCGATGGATCAATGGCAAGGAGGGGTCGGCGTCTTCCTTGTCCGAGCCTTTTTCTGTCTTGCCTCGTGTTGTTTCCTCGCAGTGGATACTGTTGCTGCTGTTGTCCTTCGTGGGCATTTGCAGTTGCAGTTTTGTGGTTGAGGTTGCTAATGTGAGTCGAATAGAAGATTGCCTCTGAGTTTCCAACGGCACTTGAGACAAGGATTCCACCATCCCAACGAACGGAAACGAATTCCGCGATAGTTGATCGACCGGTGCCAATGCGGTGACCATTCCCAGTAGTAGCAATAGGGGTCCATTCAACATTAGTCGCTTTTGCCGTGTCCTTCTGCAAGCCCGTCCACTTCGGTGGAAATCACAGTTCCGCTGGAAAGTCATGGCAATGGGAGAAGTGTTGGTGTTGCTATTCGTTGCTGCCGCTTGAGATCGTGTGTCAGAATGAAAGGGAGACTGTGGATGGTAGTGGATTGTATTCGATCGTCTTGGATTGCCTTGGATCCGAGGCTTGCGAACGCCGTCAATTAGCACGATGCTTGGTAATTGCGTTGCCGTATCACCGAGGAGGAGTATGACTGGTAACTCCGGGGCAGGGTTTCTCTTTTTTTGTGGAAAGTGATTCCTGAAACGGAAGAGTTTTTGAAAATTGAAAATTGGGTACGAGTACGTACGTTATATTACAGTATCTATCGTACGTACGTGTCGGCATTATGACCCCTTCGTACGTTAAGGTACTGCTGTATGTAAGCAAGTCGGTCACGTACGTACGGTTTGGGGGTACAAAAAGTACTACTATTCTGTAGCAACGGTAGTACAGTGCGAAGCTACTGCATTTCAAATTTCGAACACTAGAACATCTTTTGACAAGCAAGCATTTCTCTCCTCCGTATTCTGTGTTCCTCTCCACATCCGGTGTTGCGTCCACCTCCGTAGCTATCAAGCGTGCATCGAACTATTCAGGATCCCCCCGCAGCTATCCTTCAGCGTCCCCCGTATCACCACCACTCAGTGCTATTACCAGACTCCTCCAGCGTCTGCATTTAGCACCGCGCTCCGTACTGACCGGCGCACCGTATCCACCAGCATCCAGATCTATAGTCCTCAGTATTCACTAGCATACCTCCCCCCCCCAAAAAAAACATTGGTATCCGGGGACCTTCGTATTCACCAGCGGCGTCTCCCTCCACAGCTCTCGAGGGGCCTCCGTCTTGTTCCGCGCCCCCCTCCTTACTATCACTTCTTGTTTTCTCTACACAGATATCCATCCTCTGGCAAGGAGTCAAAAATATGAACCAACTCGGCCTTGGGAACCGACGAACAAAAAAGCAGCTGCAATATGTTTGCGTTACTTGCCTCAACCATCAAAATTGTGTTCTACACTTTATTGCTAGCTTGTGACAAACTAATTCTTCCTATTTACTAAATCATCCACTAATGAATACTCGCTTTCCGTTGATAAAACAAATCGTCACTTCACTATTTTTGCTCTCCAATCGTATCCACGCTTTATGTCTCCTTTCAACGAATCAATACACACAATTTGCAAGATAGTACTATTAAATAGCAGCCATTGCAACGACCATAGTGGTAACAGCCACTGCAACAAGCTTTTTGCTGAACTCAACATTGAATGCGGGAGCCGTAAGGCTATCATCGATATCGACAACTTCCGATGAAAGACCGATAGTGGTGACAAAGGAACTGTCTCCGGGCTCCTCAAGAGATCCTTCCTGGAGTCCCCGAGATTTGGTCGAGAAACTTGTGGTCAAACGGCGATCGGAGTACGGATGTTCTTCACAATTAGATATATAAACCTCCTTGCACAGTTCTTCATGTAGCCGTGTAGGGTCACCCATGTCAAATTGCCATTGAAAACCGCCTTCGGGTGCACGAAACCCTGCTTCATACAACGGATAATAAATGTCCCACTGATTGCGTTCCCAATTAGGTCTAGGGTAAGCGCAAACGCGAAATGAGCCGGTTTCATCGAAATCTTTTTCGACTTGGATAGCATACTTGAATCGAGGATGGTTTTCAAGGTCTTCTTTAATCTTTGTCCAAGATCGAAACGAGTCATTGTTGGCAAAGTGAGCATCGATTTTTGTGCAAATACTACTGATATTATATAGAAGGTAACTTACCATAAACTTTGAATTCCGCAAATAATCCCCAATCCCCAAACATTTTTGTTTCTGACTTGGGTCCCAAAACTGTTCAACAACAGGCCAATCTCCGGAGAAATTTAGAGAAGGGGGATTATCACCAACTCCTACATTTTCGAAATATCCGAAAATTTCAGATCCGGCGAACCTAGTGGTTGGGTTCCCGTTGACATAATCGACATAGAGTACTCTTGCATTTTTTGCGTCTCTGACACAAAAACCAACTTTGATATGATAGTGATCGGGGAGTACAATCTCGTTGGTGGGGATTATATAGGTACATGTTTTGCCAGGATCTTCGTACTCCAGAACTGCTTGACCAGAGCATTCGATAGCACCGTCTACCGCATCATCAAAATATGACGGGACGATCACACCCTTGAATGCTCCAGCGCGCTCTCCCATTGCATTTCCATTTTCATCCATGCTGTCTTCAACATCGAGTGAGATACTGGTCAAATCATTTGTCGCATCTCCATTTTCATCTACAAGATCGACGTCGTTGCCACAGACAACATTCTTGAACCCCACAACTTTGTATTCTTTTTGATAATCTGCGGTTGGACGAACGCACACCTGGAAGTCTTGACCAACCTTGTACTTGTTGACCAATGGCTTACCGTCATTGACACCACTGTCGCCACACAAGAACGACTCAACGGGTACAATGTTTTCGAAAGTCTCAGTCTGCAAAACCTTTGACGATTCAAGAAGTTGAACTGTTTGCGTAAAGTCTCCAAAGCTTCCTGTGGTGTCAATATCAACCGTCAGTTCTGCGTCCATATAGGACACATACTCAGTGCCCTCTTGGGTATAATCGAAATCCGACTTAAGGGCCGCTCGAGCACAAAGTTTGGCCACGCCTTTTCCATCACCCTCTTCTGTGTAGATTAAAGGTTTGCTGCGGAAATCGGCGATACTGAACCCGACAGCCGCTACACCCAATTACACAATACAGACAGCAACAATACGCGTATGAGAATATTTCACCACGTTGACAGAAGACAAAAATACGGACCAATAATCAAACATACCGACCACTCCATCGCTGGTAGCCTTGCCTTCGAGATAAGGACTGTCATTTGGCACAACAACTGGAGACGTCACAGAAACCCCATCTGCAATGAGAGTTCCTTCAGTACATTCCTTATCGTCACCTTCTGGTGCCGAATACAACTCCAGTTCGACGCTGGTGAGCTTTTCCTGCGATACTTCAATGTAAACATTTCCAGAGAACGATTCAAGGTCTTCAATTTTTACATGAGGTGTATCACCGACGCCATCTCCTGCCGGCAAAAGCTCGTAGCGCCCCACTGGGGCCTGGGCTCGGACAAAGAACATCCTGCTTTCAGCGAATACAGCAGCGATGGCAGCGGATGCAAATTTCATAGTGGACTTGTTTGATTTCCGTTTGATGAGAGATAAGAACCGATCTTTCAAGCAATTGAAAAGATCAGATGGTATTAGATGGTATGGTGTTTAATCAGCTGATTATTTGTAATTGTGAGCAAAAAATGAATAATCGTGATCTCCGAAATGAGGAACAGATTACTTTGTAAATACTGCGTAGTTCGTATCTCCTTTCGACGGATTGAATTTGGCACTTGCCGGTCCTTCTCCTCTTTACCAGTTCATCAAAAATATTCCTTCTTGTTTGCCTTTCGGAATGGAATTCGTCGATGTTCTCTGGGATCGGTTTTTGGTGTCCATATTTATTTCCGGGATAGTATTTTATTGTCACGATTTGTTAAATGGCTACAGCCTTTGTGATATGACATGAACAATGAAGATTAATATCGTGTAGAACTCAAAGGACGTTCCAAAAATGACAAAATGATTGTCAAAAATTCGCACTTAATGTTATGCTGGATCGGAAAACTGCACTTATACCACTATAGAATCCAAAAGCTGTCCCAGAACGGGATGGCTTTTTGGGATAGCTTTTCGGGATAGCTTTTCGGGATAGCTTTTTGGTTCAGCCGATTATTCTGGGATAGCTTTTTGGTTCGTGTCCTTTCGATAAAAACTTGTTTGGTGATATCTTCCTTTTCTTCCGGACATCGAATTCAGGATTGCAATATCTCTCAGTGGTACAACTTATGATTAACTTTTCCACCACTTCAGAATATCTGGTTGTTCGTTTAAGAGAAACCGATTAGTAGTAATACTTTCGGAGATCACATTGACGAGTAGATAGTGAAGAAGCTCAGTCTTTATTGTAAAAACGTACTTATACCTCTACGGCACTAAAGAGCACACGTATATTTTGCAGCTTATGAATGAGGCAATTGTGAGGCGAAATAACCCATTCCAACTTACGAGGTACCAAGTATTATCAAACGGATACGAACCAAAAAGCTATCCCAGAATGATCGGATTGATTGTTGGTTCTTAAGTACAAGTTTTTATCGAAAGGACACGAACCAAAAAGCTATCCCAG